ATGTAGAGAGTATTCATCCTTTATTCAGAGTTCTTCTTCCATGTCATCCCTAATTTTTAAAGAAAACATTGTTATATGAAGATTACAAGATGATAAATATGAAAAAAATATATTTGTTACATTGGATTCATCCGAGAGAGAGTCAATACAGAAACAGAGATAAAAAGGCACTGATAAAAGTGCAGCATGATTTGAACTTGACCTTTTAGTAAACATCATAATTTATCCTCAATATTTTGGTCATAATTAAATTTGATATAAATATGTTGCGCATCAAACTTATTGACTTTGATTTTGATAGTATCCCTTGAAATACCACATGCTTCAACATAAATGATTAATTGTTTACTATATTAAAATACATTAAATAAAATTTTTAATCAATGCTTATTGTAGAGTAAAAGTTCTACTCCACGTCCACCATCAAAATGTGCAAGAATTTCCAGAAAACGGCAATATCAATTGGTCAACTTTATACAATCAACATATAGAAATGATAAATGATTCTTTTTTGAGTGTATATTATTACTGTGTTTTGAGATAAATTTTGAGATGATTTTCTAATATTTAAATTATCTCTTATTTCCATCAATCTATTCCTTAAAATACAGAAATTACAGGTAGGAAATAAAGCTTCAAAAATTAGAATTACTTTTAATTTTACTTGTTTTAATAAATTGTTCATTGTCCAATAGCCTTCTTGATTTTTTCAGAAATTTTCGTTGATTGGAGTGAAAAGAGCAGAATAAAATTTATACCATCAGATTTAAAACTATATTCCATTAATACATGCCATCATTTCTCTTTTTCTTCCTCCTGTTCATCTTATATGCACTTTTGAGTTCATTGTTTAATATACTGAGAACCATACAAATATGCATAAAAATATATATTTATTGCCACTCATCAAACTATCAGAAAAATAAAATAAATAAAAGTTTTTCATTGTCTGAATTGCTTGAGTAGTTCCGCCAGTTTAAAAAATTTTTTCTAAAGGAATTGGATATAGCTAATCATGATGACAGCCTTAAGGTTATTTAACTTATCATCTGATTCTGGAGTAACCAAAATCTACCAGCGGGCAATATTGTTTTTTTATCTTCCTGTATTGATGGAAAATAAATATACATATTGCCACTCAGCGAACCATTAGAAAAATAAAATAAAATAAAAATTACTCTAATTGCCTGAATTGCTTAAGGAGTTCCACCAGTTTAAAATTTTTTTTTAAAGGAATTGGGTGGCTAATTAACACATATTGTATTATCTTTCACCTTAAAATTGGTATAAAATAGTCGAAAGTATACTGAATACTCAAGATATAATTAATAAATTTTTGAGTTGATAAGTTTCTAATAGTCCAATAAAGTGATAGGGTCAATATTCTATTAATATTATGCTTAAAATATTTAACTATAGTATATTTTCAGTGGTATAATTGGATTAATCCTTTTGGATGAATTGGATTTTCTATTTTCTACAGAGTTTAATTTAAATTTATATGATCAGAACATTCAAATTAATTTATTTCTTTTTTTCTATTTAAGTACATTTGGTATGTTTGATGATGTTCCCTACTACTTGCACTCCTACAATTTCCAAATTGTCTCTTTTTGGCTTAGGTATAGGATATGGGCATTCTGCCATTCATTTGAGATATGTATTTAAACATTTGACATATTAAATGAATTATGTATAATATTTGATGCTATGGTAATTGTAAAATAATAACATATATATAATATCTAAATTTTATAAATAGTATTTTTAATTTAAATTGTAATATTGAACCCTTGATAAAGCAACATATAGTTGAGCATGAATGTTCACAGGATTTTGTAAATCTAGTACCATATGCTGTATGGTATTGTTTGACCTTGAGATTTGTTAATTGTCATAGCAAAAGCTAAACAATGCTGAAATTGCAAATCTCCTTAGCTTCTATAGTTGTTGTTGATATGTACCAAGGTTTTAATTAAAGCAATTTTGTTGGATTAAGGAAAACTAATTAGACTAAAGGAAAATATATAAACCATATTAGCCCAGTTGTCCCAACTAAGTAAATAATTATCAATAACACCCAGAAATTGTTATTATTATTGTGGATAGATATTTGAATTAGAAAAGGAAAGGAGAATTATTATATAATTGTTGCTCCTATCATGATTGTAATTATTATATGCAGGAAATTCGGAACTGTACCAATCTCAAAAGGTGCTAAAATTATCTGACGGTAATAATTCAGGGGGTACAAGATCTGTCCCGATGGCGGAAAGTAATGTTTGTACTTCTCAATTCCCGGTGTATTCTATCATGATTGATGTTTTTCTGAAAGTGTGTTATGAACATACAAATTAGGGTCAAATAGTGATGTCAGAATTTCTGGCAGAAGGCACCAATTTGTTATTTTGTAAGACTTAGTTGGGTTATAATTGAAAACTGAACCCTGGGATGTTTTTTTAGAATATTTGGATGTATGTTTTATGATCACTAATCATCTCTTATTTGAGTAGAAACTGTAGAACTATCTTCTTTTTGTCTTTGTGATATGGAAATGGATGCATAATTTAGCAGGGACTATTGATAACATTCATACTATTTGGACTTTTTTATACTATATTCTATAGATGGTAAGTTAATTTACATTATGACTTATTGTTTAATAATCAAATTATTTGATAATGTGCCCACTATTTGGAACCTTTTTATACATTGTAAGTTTTTTAAATTTGTAATTAATAGGTTTTGTATAAGTAAAAGGATCTCTACAAATTCAATAAAAGTGGGATCATTCTGACGGTTTTGGCATATGAATTGCTGGTTAAATCATCTTAATAAATAAATATATATTTATATTATTATCTTGTATTATTATATATTGTAAATTGTTAATTATTTTCATTAATAGAATTTTATGAAAAAAAAATTGTATCATTAAAATAAATATATGTAAAACAATAAATAGTTGAATGATAAGTTTGAGTGATGTATAATGTGAAAAATGTATAGTATAAACAAATAGTATGAAAAAAATGTTAAATCCATATTATATATAAAAAATTTATGATCTAAGAAAATTAAATTTCTCTGATATCCAACAAAATATCAGGAAAATATAATTTTAAAACTAATAAATAAAGGAAATTAGTAATGAATTCCAGATTTATTTATATTCAATTTTTCAAATCATTTCAATTAAGTTAGCATGAGAATATTTGATTTAAATATTATATGTGGCAAAGTCATAGCCACAAAAGAACAATCTTTATCAAAAAAAACTATTATGTCTAACTTTTATTTATTATACTAAGCCTAATACAAGTTTGTGTATAGTTTCATACATGATTAACAACAAAGTTTTTCAAAGCCTGGTTTCATTTAATCAATGTACTGAAATTAAGTATATTTCTGTAAAATATAAGAAGAAAATACAAATGTGCGTAACATTAATTTCTCCCATATTTAAACTAACCTGATAAAGACAAATATTTGAGTTAAAGTCATGTAAGTATTCATCATATTTTGGATGACTCTTTTATTTTTTCTTCTTAATTAAAGAAAAAGCAGTAGTAAAAATCCTGATTATATGACATATCTTATTTTGTTGTTATTTATTAAATTATTCTTTTTTTTTAATAAACTCAGCCCATTCCAGGCTTAAAATATCTAAGCCCAGCCTTGGACGCGGGTTATAAAATTTATTTAATATTCTATAAATTTAAATTGTTACACAGATTATATAATTTTGCATCACAATTTTAATGAAAAAAACCAGTATTATACTATTAGTACTATAGTATAGTCAATAGTATAAAATTAATAGAATATCAATTGAAAAATTACATTATGTACGAAGACTGAAGAATCATTGCTTTAATGCTTCATGTTTAATAACTCAATTTCATGTAAACAAATTGACAGGATGTAAAGATATAAAATTTGAAGATGTTCTGAAGTAAGTATAAATAAAAGTTGTACTTTACTTGAGACTTTTAAGTTGTAGCGTATAATTTAACGATACAATCATGTGCATCATGTGCATTTATAAACTGACTATAGCATGTTATTTATCTGTTTTATCCTATTTTTTTTAAAAAAATTCGAAATTCAGCTTAATTTATTTATGACTTTAACTCATAAATCATAAAAAATAAATTTAAGTATTCAGTTTTTAAAAACAATTTTTGGAGAGCTGGCCAAAATTATTTTGAATGATCATATTATCCTTAGTTGTGATAGGTTCGAGTTTATTTAAGAATACAGTCGAACATAACACTTTTAGCGCATAGTAAATTAATCGACATAAAATAAAGTCACAGTATGTACTAAGTAAAAGTACGCTTAGTGCAAAACTTTTTAACGTTAAGATGTTAATAAACTTAAATCAGCATGCGATATTGCAATAAGATGATATTATAATTTAATATTACAGAATTTATCATCATGATGGATTTATGAAATACCCAAAATTTGTCCGTCATTTCAATTAATTTTGAGTAAATTCAATTGATCAGCACGTGTTAATAATTATGATTAATTCGTTAAACTCATATATAGTATGTTTTTTTTCTTTGGGTAGAATTAGCATATTTGTTTTGTATACTCCTTGGTTCTATGTCCATTTAATAAAATTAAAATAAAAATAAAATAAAGTTCAACTTATATATAAATAAAACATTTCTTTCTGTTTGTATTATCATTATTATTTTTTTTTATTGGTATGAACGTAAACAGTTTGCTGATCAAGTGATTAAGTTGTGTAGCATAAATATGTCAAATTTGACGCACAGCCCCACAGAGGAAAAATCGGTTAGGTATCGGGAAAATTTGGTAGACGCAGGTTCTGGGGTACAAAAAAAATTTTTAGGGTTCATTTCTGTAAATTTTGTGACCGAAATTGGCTAATTTTGTGATCAACCTTGATGTATGATCATATGAGAATGAAATCTTTATTAGTGATCGACACAATTACAAAAGGAAATAATTGTCATTTATCAAATGAAAATTTCTTCTCTAAAAAAAAAATGTCTTGCCAAACTTTGTCTAATAAATTTTTAGAAGATATTAACAACCTTTATGATATAACTGATGATTATAATGTAAAAATACAAGTTGGAAAAGATTCCGAAATGGAAATTTTCCAAGCCCATTCAGTTATATTGCGTGCTAGGTCAAAATATTTTCATTCTGCATTTTCTTCAAATTTGGTTAAAAAAGAAGGAGATTTTTATATCTTTAAGAAACCAAATGTGACCTCAATTGTATTTAAAATTATATTAAAGTAAGTTTAAAAGGAATGTAATTGGATAAATTAATTTAGATTGGTAACTCATTAAAATTTTTTTTTTTTTTAGATACATTTATACTGGAACAATTTTAGGTAATATAGAAAATAATATTATTGAATTGCTTCTTGTAGCGAATGAAATGGAACTTCATGAGCTTGTTGAATACCTTCAACAATGTATAATTAATTTTAATAATGATTGGATTGAGCTAAATGGCGTAAAACTCTATGATTTTATTTCCCACCATAAGGATGTTTTTCCTAAGCTTCAAGAATTATGTAATAATATTATGAGTCAAAAACCAAAATTATTGATTGATTCTAATGAATTTTGGGGGCTAGATGATGAAGCCTTACTTTCAATGATTCAACTTGATTATCTAGAAATGAAAGAAGTAGAAATTTGGGATAATTTAATAAAATGGGGTATTGCAAAGAATTCAACTCTTAATTCTGATATGAAAACTTGGAGTGTTAAAGAATATGACATCTTGAAGGAAACTATATCAAAATTTATTCAACATATTCGATTTTTTCAAATGACATCTCAAGAATATTACTGTAAAGTCCGTCCTTTAAGTAAATTGCTACCTAAAGAACTTGAAGAAGATCTCCTATCACATTATATTGTTCCAGAATACAAATTGGCTACAAAAGTTCTTCTACCTAGAAAAACTCAAAATGATAAAATATTTGATTCAACTATCCTTACAAGAAAATATTTTAATCTTATTTCATATTGGATTGATAATGGACAAGAAAAATTACCAAAATTTACTGAAAGTGTTTGATATAAATATAATTTACTTTTGCGTGGAAGTAGAGATGGGTTTGAACCAAAAGATTTTAATTCAAAATGTAATAATAAAGGAGCTACAATTGTTATAATTAAATTAAAAGATTCGAACAAAATTATTGGAGGATATAATCCAATAATATGGAGTAAAAATGGTAGTTTTCGTTATTCAGATAAAAGTTTTATTTTTTCATTTTATTTAGATACATTAGATTTAAATACAATTGTGTTGAGCAGAGTTGTTGAATACAACCGAGCAATTTGGGATAGTGATGATAATAACCATGGATTTGGATATGGAGATTTATATATATTTAGAAAAAGCTGTAAATTAACACATTATTCCGCTAAAATTCTTGATTCGGATCATTTTGAAATTGATGATTATGAAGTGTTTCAAGTCATAGAAAAATAATGATAATAATAAAGTTTATTACCTTTTTTTTTTTACTAGTTGCAATTAAAAGTAATTGTAAAATTAAATTTTATTATCTAAATAAAGAGTAATTATTGATATTATAAATTTTGCTAAGATTGAAAAATTATTGTTGAAATTTTTCTTGAGAAAAAAATTTGAACATGCTTTATATTATAAATTGTACTTTTTATAAACAATCAATAACGTAATTTTAAAGACTATGGATTTATAATACCTGTGATATGTATAGATTTGGCTTTAAAAAGTCCGATAAATATCAGCGTTAATCAATAAAATTGTATAAATAATGGATTTTATATGTTTTCAAAATCTGTAAAAAATACTGTTTATGTACAATCCAATACGTAATGCGAATAGTGTAGGATAAGAATAAGAAAAAAAGTTTATAGTTCTTAGTGTGAATTTAAATATCTTTGTTTGTATTCTAAAATATCTTCCCTTCCCAGTAAATAGTTTTTGTATGAATTTGTACCAAATGGGCTCATCCATATATAATTGGCTCTAGATTGGCTTAAATTTGGATTATTTTTTGCATAAATTTGAGCTAATTTCGAGCCAATGAGCCCGTTTGGTATAAATTTATACAAAAACTATTTACTGGGCTTCTATATAGTATTTGTTAAAACGTTAGGTCCTTCAGTTGAAAAATGATAACACGTTTTAAAAGTATTTATCAATTAGTTAATGGATAGTTTGTATTTATTATAAAAAATCTTTCAGTATGCCGAACTTCTGGATCAGTAAGACTAAATAATGATGAAATTAAAGTTTGAGCATGTTTGTTAGATTTGTTAGATTTGAACTTTTGATTATACGATTTTTATTTAATAGGTTTTATGAAGAGAAATAGTATTCGATCCAATTAGTTGTTGCTCATCTAAAATTTATTACATTTTATTTTTTTACTAATAATTTTTAATTATAATTCGCTATTTAATTGAAATTATGAATAATTTAAAGGAGATATTTCATCAACAGCTTTATATAAATATGAATTCATTATATATGTAATATTCATAATAATACATTACAAAGTAAAAGAAGTAATAAATTATTACTACATTTGTGCTGTTTTGGTCTCCTTACCTTCTTACGTACAGCACGTGTAAGAAAGAAATTTATGCTTCTAAAGACACACGTCTCAAATATTTGTAAGTATAATCATCTTTATTTAGTAATCATTTCTTATAGGCGAGCGAAAAAGTCCTGTACTATTTAAGTTAGCAAGTCTATATGTATATTGTATAAATACAATAAAAGTTTATTTTCTGGTGCGATAACAAATTTGAAAGATTTGAAAATGTATTTTGCATCAAAAAATATTTTTTAATTTTGACAATGTAATTTTAAAGAGCTTTTGATTTATGTATGAAGTGATTACAAATTTTTTTCTTCTGATTGGCTTATACTCACTCTTTGTTAAATTAAAGTTTGTTTTATATTATACAAACTCTTAAATTACCCAATTTTTTCTTTAGACGAAATGCGCATAATACGACGTCTATAATGTTGGTATGTCACATATTTATATGAAATGTACTTCCCCGAAAAAATTTCAATTCACTCGTTAGATTTTGAGGATTATGTAACCAAATGATACAGAAAAGAGATAAAGGATGTTTAATAAAATTTGAACATGAAAAAAATTCTAAAAAATTATATTTTTAACGTCATTAATAAAATACACATACTATCTTATCAAATAACAAAATTAAAAAGGATGTTAATGACTTATTGTATGATAATGATATTATGCACAGTTAAATTATCTGAAATTCAATATAATACGTTTACGTTTGATAATCCGCTCCAGACCTCAATTCCGATATATCAAGATTTTACATAGGTTCCGGTATATCGAATTTTAATGTGTATATTGTACCATATACTTAGATTTGTACACTTATTATTTATTAGTTTTCTTCGTATTCATTCAGTTCTTTTCCATAAAATATCATGTATCCCCACTTCTTCAAAATTGATTAAACAAGCAAAAGTTTATTTCTGGCTTGGAATGTGTCTATCCCGTCATTTCATAGTAGAGATTCATTTCCGTATTAATAATTTATAAAATGTATTTAATCTTGTTAGAAATTTTTTAATTCTCTCACATTTTGACAAATATTTATTATCCCATCATACTTGCTTATATTATATTATTTATTGCCAAATTTTAAAAATTTCAGGAAAAATTTTTTACAAAACTGTTCAGTCTACACCCATAGGAAATTCTAGCAAGATCCCAAATTTGCTTATTCAACCAAAATTTCATCATATCACAAATTTCACATGACATTGTTTATCGCATGCAAATCGTATGCATCGAATAGTTCCTAGGGTAAACGGGGGCCAACTCAAGGCTAAGGCTAATATTTCCGGAATTGATAACCTTATATCACAGAATTTATTGAATTATTACATTTTTCGTGAATGGATCCGCGAAAGGATTATTTTACGGAGTTTTTACAGAAATAACGGATAAAATTTTTTATAGAGAATATAAAAATGAGTGAGAATCGTTTACTCCTGAGAAAGACTTTATTGATGCTTTTTTGGTAAACATCGGCACTAAGACCTTTGGCAAGTTAATATTAATGAAGAAGATACAAAGGTATTTCTACTGAAGATGGTATTGAAATAAAATTTGAAAGAAAATGACAAAGTTTGGCGAAGTTTTATGACTATATTAAGAGTTTAAATGGCAAATTAAAATTGATTTGTATGAAAACTTATATTAAATAAGGCAAAAGAACATCAAAAGGTCATAATGTGTTTAATTATATATCAGATATAGTAAAAAAGTATTTTTAATTTGTTGGCTAAATTGAATCTTGTTTGCTCAAATGATTAATAATCAATCAAAATATATTATCATACATAAATAATATTTATTAAATAGGAAATTAAATATGCGCTTGTAGTATGTTACATATTAGTCAATTAATTATAGTTACGGTAATTATTATCATTATTCGTCATTTATCACTAAATTTATAAATTGCTAAAATCTTGCATATTATAATATTGACAAAATACTCCCTTTAAGTTTTTTGCCAACTTTATTTGGTTTATTTTGGAATTTTGTATTTATGACCTTTAGCTGAAATTATAGTTCTATTGCAATTATTTTCTAATTTCGTGCCAACATTGTTTTAACCATTGTATTAATCCGGATTCATTTATGATTATAAATCTGAACAGTAATATGTTCATTATTACTACTAACATATTATAAATATCATAAATCATATATATATTATATGCCACAATTATACATTATTAGTCACATTACTAGTCTTATGCATATAATGACTTATGAGTCATATGATTCAAAGTTTATCATTTATTATTAATCATATTTAATGTAAGCCATATTTGGATAATTAACTAATGATACTGTATGACTAAAAAAAAATAATGAAACATACACAATATAAATATTACAAAATAAATCAGCTTTTATCAGTTTGATCCATTATTACAAAAAGTAATGAACAGATTTTTTTAGTTTGTCATTTTTTGTAATAATAAGTCAAATTGACAATTAATTTTATCAGTTCAAGTCATATCATTTTTTTACATATTTAAGATGTCTAATTTTTCTTCCAATTTTTGCTTTTCATGCTTTTTTCTTCTGTAAATTAATAAATTCTACAATCTATAATCTATCTATATATTAATATTTTGTATTTTTTTTTTTTGAATTAACAAATTAATCATGAGTACAACTGAGAATTATATTGGATTTGAAGAACTTGTTTCTTATTTAAATGAATTTAAATCAAGAAATTTATCTTACCATATCTATCTATATATTAATATTTTGTATTTTTTTTTTTGAATTAACAAATTAATCATGAGAATTATATTGGATTTGAAGAACTTGTTTCTTATTTAAATGAATTTAAATCAAGAAATTTTATCTTACCATGGATTTTTGAAAATTAACCGAAATACTATTATTGCTTCATCATTAACTCAATTAACTGATTTTCCATTAACATCATCCAAATGGCAAATCCTTGATATTACTTGGAATAATCACTTTTTGGAGAAGGCAAGAGAATTATTGGACTCAAATACTTTTGTTGAATTAAGAAAAAAGGTATGTTTTGTTTTTATTTTGCAAAGGGTGGGTAACTCCTAATATTCGCCGTGATCACTTTGTGAGAATTACTGGTCTCATTCGCCCAGTAACCACTCCGGGCTCTCATTCCAGGCACCCTAACTTTGTTGTTAGTAAAGTCTGCTAGTTCTGGAGGAGGAGCCAGCTATGTACCTTCTTTACTACTAAATAAAAATTTAGCATACATTAACAATTTGCTTTCTTATAATAGGCAAATACAGAGCATTCACAATGTAAAAAGATTTGCAAATATTTTGGCAAGAAGTTATTAAGGAATGTGAAAAAAATCAGAAAATTATTAAGGAAAGTGAAAAAGAAAATACTTTTACTACTGTTACATCTCTTTCAAAAAAAACAATTAAATTTTCTGAAAAAAAACTATCAAAAGAAAATACTTTTACTACTGTTGCATCACAACCAAATATATCATTACTTTCAAAAAAAACAGGTAAAAGTTCTGTTAAAAATCTTTCTGAAACTTTACAACTAGATTTATCTAAAAAGAATATAACATTTATTAATGACTTCTGTTATGATGTATTTCATGAACTTAAAATGAATCTTATGCTAATTTATTTTATAAATATACTGAAAAGGATGTTAAAAATAAGGTTATAGAATATCCAATGGATTTATTTACTATAAATTCAAAATTAGAAAATAATCAATATACAAGTTTAAAAGAATTTGAAAAAGATATTCGTTTAATATTTTGTAATTGTTATACATATAATGATATTAAAAGTAAAGAATATTGTTCAGGTAAAATATTAGAATCTGTTTTTAATGAAAAATGGAATGAAAAAATTATTCTTTATGATAGACAAACAAGAGAACTGAAAAGAGTAAGAGATACTGATACTGATGATACTGATAATACTGATAATACTGATAGATCCTGGAAGAAACAATGTCAAATTTTAGAACAAAATAAAAATAATTTAATATATAGACAGGTCATTAATGATGCACTCCTTGTTGCTTCAGCATATGAAAGTCTTGTTATAGGTAATATTATACCTTTTATTGAAATTTTAAAGACATTTCTATTAACTAGATCAAGAATGTCTTTATCTTTAGCAAATGAATCTATGCTTCAGGCAATTATTGAAAGTCTTCTACCATTAAAATATCGTATTCCAGAGCTTTCATTAGTAATGGATGAAAAAGTTAAAGGGATCAGGTCGCTTTGGTTATTCAGATATTTTTGTTTTGAAAGGAATAGGTGATATTTACTACGGTGTACCGTTTGAACGAAAAGTGCCAAAATTTCGAAAAATTGATTTTTCGATTTTTGAATTTTCAAAATCTCCTTATAAGGAGATTCTCCTTATAAGGAAAATCTCCTTTTATGGCAATGTAACGTTACACAAATGCCCAAATAAGGAAGTTAGTGTTACCAAATTTCCTTTTTTGGACGTTTTGTGTAACGTAGATCTATCCTATAAAAGGAAAATTTCCTTATAAGGCGATTTTAAAAGTTCAAAATTTCAAAATTTCAAAATTTCAAAAAAAAATTACCATAAAAGGAAATTTTTTTTAAGATTTTTGAAATTTCGAAATTTCGAAATTTTGAATTTGAAAATCGCCTTTTAAGGAAATTTTCCTTTTATGTACACCCCATTCGCCTGATCGGCAAAGGATATAACCTTATCCATCGTGTCTCAAATGCATAGGTTATATCCTCCATGGAAACCACGGTTTTTATTGGCCAATACTAAGCAGTGATCATGTGACCTTATAAGTG